AGTGAATTGATATCCATTTTATAATAAGGGCACCAGAACTGAACCGCATAATCGAGGTGCGGCCTGACTAGCGCAAGATATAGTTGCAATAAGACCTCTGCACTCTTATTACTTACACTTCTAGATATAAAACCCAATACTCTGTTTGCCTTATTTCTAACATTAACGCACTGTTTTCTAGGCCGTAGGTCCGGGCTTACAAGTACCCCTAGGTCTCTTTCACAAGTCGACTTCTCTAGGTTGATGTTGTTAAGGCTGTATAATGCAGCGCATTAAACCCCTCAGAACCCTTGTTGGCAAGGGCTATAGAATTAACATCACCTATGCTCGTACTTTCTATCTTCACTTCATTCGTTGTGTAGTTGACTACCATGCTCTCCATCTTGTGGTTATTCCGCCTAAACAACTCAACAGCCTTGAGGTAGTGCAAAATGAAGCCATGTGCATCATTCTAGGATGCCCTAAATCAACCAGAATTGTAAACATGAGGAAAGAGCTCAGACTGCCCTCCCTATCTGAGAGGATAGCTCCACATAATACCATGTTTTGTGTCAAAGTTTTGAAGAACAATGGTCCCCAAACTACAGCTCAAACTGAGTTGATGTTCTATCTAAGTAATCCCAACTATCTCACTAACCTTCCACAAAAGACTCTCTTTGGGGCGTGGCTTCATAAAAGTGTCGCAGATCTCTTGAAACTGAATGTCCCAATCACCCCAGACGAACCTATTAATGCCATTCCTCCTTGGCTGGACATATCAGTTCCTATTAATTACACTCCTGTTGGTAGTAAGCAAATGTTAAACACCGATGTGGTGAGATGTGTCACACTAGAAACTATTAACAGACACATAGAGAGTATTAAATCAAGTGAATGTTATGCTTTTACTGATGGTTCTGTGCAGACAAACACAGGTAGAACAGGCTGTGCAATTGTAATATATAAAGAAAAAGAGATGATAGTGTCAACCAAGCAAAGGCTGAACAACTGGGCCAGCACAGCACAAACTGAACTAACTGGAATCTACGTAACCACAGACTACCTTAAAGAAAATGGAGGTGGGGTGATATTCTGCGACTCTCAAAATGCTTTGGAATCAATGAACAGCCCGTCAGGTTCTATGTCTAAAGTTGTATGTGATATTAAAAGATGTGTGATATCTGCCAATGAGAACAACTCTCGTATCAAATTTAAACGACACTGCACAGATTTGAAAGTTAGGTTAGGTCAGGTTCTAATAGGTTAGGTCAGGTTCTAATAGGTTAGGTCAGGTTCTAATAGGTTAGGTTAGGTTCTAATAGGTTAGGTTAGGTTCTAATAGGTTCTGTGTATTCTTGCCTCCATTTTCGTGTTTGGTATCATAAAAATATTATCTCCAGAAATTTTGGTTCAATTCCATAAATTATTGAACTCGGCTCACTATTACCGGTAAAAATTTGTCTTATCCAAATTTACCAAACTGACGTAAGATATTTTTCTGGTGTGGTTAGGTTAGGTTACGGTGGTAGGTACAGTAGCTAAAAACATCTATCTGTGCATACTTTGTGGGAAACTTTATTAGACAATGGACGATAAATATTGTTATACGAAGGCTGTCACTGGTAACACGTCAAATTTCAGAGCATATCGACCCCCACCTGCACAGATAGTTGTTTTAGCTACTGTACATGGTAATAGGTTAGTCTATTGTGGCATGATAAATAATTTTTCTGGTGATTTTTGGTGTTTTTTAGTAGATTCTGAACATCTTTTAATGTGGAAATGCAACATTTTTTTTTTTTTTTCCAATTTTTATGAGGAATCAAACCCTCAAAAGGTTAATTTCCACAAGAAACAAAATTCACAATCAACTAAAAAACACCAAAATTCACCAGAAAAATTATTTATCATGCCACAATATACTAAACTATTACCATGTACCTACTACCCAAACCAAAACTAACCTAACCTACAAAAACTAACCTAACCAAACCTGACAAAAACTAACCTAACCTGACAAAAACTAACCTAACCAAACCTGACAAAAACTAACCTAACCAAACCTGACAAAAACTAACCTAACCTGACCTGACAAAAACTAACCTAACCTGACCTGACCTGACATGAAAACCTAACCTATGACCCGACCTGCCCGGTATATTAAAAACAGAAACAACTTACTCTGATGGTAGTTTGAGGCCGTGGAGATGACACGGCCGCAGAGTTCTGGCGGGTTAGTCCTATATATTACCCAAAAATCTGAAATACCTACATAAAAACCAATATTAACCCAATTAATTTTTGCCAATTCACCAACTGCCGACGACAACGAATTATTTCTTACTACAAACACCAATATAAACCTTTCGCACTAATACCACGGAGAATACTATATACAATGACGGAGTTTATCTTGCAATTATCTTATCATAAACATCTTCACCCTTAAATTTCCATTTGATTAAGGAAATAAAACCGTCAGTAACTACTGTACTTCCTGATAAACTACCACGGCGGCAGATTAACTAACTCCTCAACATCACATGTAACTTAATTATTTAAAAATACCAACAATTTACTCACCATAGAGGACAGTAGCGACATAAGCCGTTTAAATAACTTAATATATAAATACTAAAAATATAATCACCACATAACAGCCAGTAACATGTCCTTCCTAACGGCCTTACCCAGGCTAATGGCCTGGTGGTGACGTGTCACAATGGTGTGTTATATAGACAAACTTATACCACATTCAGTTAATATTCAGCCCTTAACTGTCCAGCCATCTAGTGATTTAATTTCACTATAAATATTTAAGGTCATCATAGGAGAACGAGTTGTTGAGAGGGCCAACGGGGACGTCATCACTCGCCGTTAATTTATTACCCAAATGACTTTAGATATTGCGGAAACAAAGGAAACTACACTGAATTATAACTACTAGGATATACATTAACGGTACAAATATTTACCTTGATAAATTAAATATGTTCAGAGCATTTATTCCACTGATGTAAGTTATTAGATAAAATAAACCAAAATAAAAGTTTTGGTCAAGGCTTTATGGTATTATTTCAAGTGATTCTGCACTTTTGTTAAGGGTGAGACGCTACGACCTTGCAGCCCAGAGAGGAAACTAGGCCTATCTACCTCTTAGAAGATCATGAAATAACTGCACAGTATATATAGGCCTACAAGAGAGCTCAGACTTTCAACTGGTTCACCCATGTTAATATAGTTATTATTATCCACTCTGTATCTGTGTTCTGGCTAACAACTGTTTGGCTGAAGCGTATTCCAAGACTAAACTATCCATTCATCTATATCTATTTTCAGTACATTCATTGGGGAAAATAATGTTATAAATTACGCGGAAAATTTTAGCGTCGGTTTGTGTTTTTTTTTCTCTACTCGTGACCAAAAACAACTCAAACACGAGGGTCGAGTTTTTGTGTTTTTTGTCATTTTTGTCCATATTTTTAGGTGTTTGATTTATTTTCGATGTGTTTTATATCATCAATAAAACCCCTAAAGGTAAGTAATATAAAGTGATTTAAGGTATTTTGTGTTTTATTGTTGTTTTATGAGGTTTTTAAATTCACTCTAAAGTTAACAGGTGGCTGAGAACCCTATGTTTATATAGATTAATTTATATTATAATTTTATTGTTTTCAAGTATTCCGATGATTAATGGATTTAGGAGATTTAAACTACCTTTCAGGATTATTTGAAACATTTATTAATTAGGATTAATGAAGGCTAGGTCTTTACTGTCTCTCTCCATTAAGAAGAATCGTAATATTTTGAGAAATTTTTATTTATTTTATTACTATTAGATATAGTTCCTGGGTCTTGTGGCGAAGTTAGAATACTTACTTAAGTTTAATTAATGTAGGTTTTCAGCTCAATATAAGGATCCTCAGTTATAGAATCTATGGTCCCAAAGTGGCTCTGTGGTACTATAGCAAATCTGTTTTGTAAGTCATGTTATATGAGGCAAAATTATCGTTTAAGTAATGCATCATTCTAGTTGTTCAAAAACACATCAAGAATCACCGGAAAGCCATAATTTCTCGTAACCCAACCATTGGAAAACCATAATTTCAACCTAACCTAACCATTGAGAAACATTTCATGCTAACCTAACCATTGGAAACCATACTCAACCTAACTCAACCATTGAAAACTATCATTTCAACCTAACCTAACCATTGGAGAACATTTCATGCTAACCTAACCATTGGAAAACCATACCTTAACCTAACCCAAACCATTGAAACCATCATTTCAAATCCTCTAACCTAACCATTGGAGAAACATTTCATGCTAACCTAACCATTGGAAAATTATAATTTCAACCTAACCAACCATTGAAACCATCATTTCAACCTAACCTAACCATTGAGAAACATTTCATGCTAACCTAACCATTGGAAAATTATACTTCAACCTAACTTAACCATTGGAAAACTGTAATTTCTAACCTAAACCTAACCATTGGAAAAACATAATTTCAACTCAATCCCAAATCATTGGAAACCATTTCATGCTAACCTAACCATTGGAAAACTATAATTTCAACCTAACCTAACCATTGGAAAAACATTTCATCTTAACCTAACATTAAAATTTCTAAAATTCACTGCATGAAAATAATCTCATCATATAGTATTAAAAGTTCCCTCCTGACTCAATGCTAATCTATTTTTTGCCGCATTTTATGGTTGGCGATGTAACAACCCCTCGCAAACTGTTCGGGATTCTACTGCCCTGGGGATTACACTAGCACTGGTACTGGGGCCTACTGGTACTGGGCTTCTGGTACTGGGTCACTGGTACTGGGTCACTGGTACTGGGTCATCATACTGTCACTGGTACTGGGTCACTGGTACTGGTCAATATATCAATACTTGGTATTGGGTCACTGTACTGGGTCACTGGTACTGGGTCACTGGTACTGGGTCACTGGTACTGGGTCACTGGTACTGGGTCACTGGTACTGGGTCACTGGTACTGGGTCACTGGTACTGGGTCACTGGCATCGGGGACACTGGTACTGGAACATTGGTACTGGCACTGTACTGGAACATTGGTACTGGGTCACTGAACTGGGGACACTTGTACTGGAACATTGGTACTGGGACACTATACTGGAACATTGGTACTGGGTCACTGAACTGACACTGGTACTGGGTCACTGGTACTGGGACACTGGTACTGGGACACTGTACTGGGCTCACTGAACTGGGACACTGGTACTGGGACACTGGTACTGGGTCACTGGGTGGGTCACTGGAACCACACTGGTACTGGGACACTGGTACTGGGAACATTGGTACTGGGTCACTGAACTGGGCTGGCTGGGTACAGGGACACTGGTACTGAACACTGTACAGGACACTGCTGGTACAGGGACACTGGTACAGGGACACTGCACAGGGACACTGGTACTGGAACACTGGTACAGGGACACTGGCACAGGGACACTGGTACAGGGACACTGGTACAGGGACACTGGCAGGGACACTGTACTGGGACACTGGTACTGGGTCACTGGTACAGGGTCACTGGTACAGGGTCACTGGTACTGGGGTCACTGGTACAGGGACACTGGTACTGGGTCACTGGTACAGGGTCACTGGTACTGGGGTCACTGGTACTGAACACTAAGTACAGGGGGTCACTGGTACAGGGTCACTGGGTACAGGGACACTGGTAAGAGGGTCACTGGTACTGGAACACTGGTACAGGGTCACTGGTACTGGGAACACTGGCACAGGCCCAGCCGGTACTGGAACACTGCAGGGTCACTGGTACAGGGACACTGGGTACAGGGTCACGGGTACAGGGACACTGGTACAGGGAGCACTGGGTACAGGGACACTGGTACTGAACACTGGTACTGGAACACTGGTACAGGGTCACTGGTACAGGGTCACTGGCACAGGGTCACTGCATAGGGACACTACAGGTCACTTGGCACAGGGTCAGCCGGGTACTGGGTCACTGGTACTGGAACACTGGTACAGGGTCACTGGTACAGGGGTCACTGGTACAGGGACACGGGGTACAGGGTCACTGGTACTGCAACACTTGCACAGGGTCACTGGTACTGGAACACTGGTACTGGGTCACTGGTACTGGGTCACTGGGTACAGGGTCACGGGTACAGGGTCACTGGCACAGGTCACTGGTACAGGGATTACTGGCAGGGTCACTGGTACTGGGACACTGGTACAGGGTCACTGGTACAAAACAATGGTACAGGTCACTGGTACTGGGAACACTGGTACAGGGTCACTGGTACTGAACACTGGTACAGGGTCACTGGTACAGGGACACTGGTACAGGGTCACTGTACAGGACACTGGTACAGGGTCACTGGTACAGGGACACTGGTACAGGGATGACTGGCAGGACACTGGTACTGGGCCTGGAACACTGGTACAGGGTCACTGGCAGGGTCACTGGTACAGGGTCACTGGTACAGGCACACTGGGTACAGGGTCACTTGGTACAGGGGTCACTGGTACTGGGTCACTGGTACTGGAACACTGGTACAGGGTCACGGTACAGGGTCACTGGTACAGGACACTGGTACAGGGTCACTGGTACTGGAACACTGGTACAGGGTCACTGGTACTGGAAACACTGGTACAGGGCCGAGACGGAACACTGGTACAGGGTCACTGTACAGGGACACTGGGTACAGGGTCACTGGTACTGGGTCACTGGTACTGGGACACTGTACTGGGTCACTGTACTGGAACACTGGCACAGGGTCACGGTACTGGGTCACTGGTACTGGGACACTGGTACAGGGTCACTGGTACTGGAACACTGCACAGGGTCACTGGTACTGGGAACACTGGTACAGGGTCACTGGTACTGGAACACTGGGCAGGGTCAGCCTGTACAGGGACATTGGTACAGGGTCACTGGCACTGGGTCACTGCACTGGGACACTGGTACTGGGTCACTGGTACAGGTCACTGGTACAGGACACTGGTACAGGACACTGTACAGAGTCACTGGTACAGGGACACTGCACAGGGTCATTTCGGTACAGGGTCACTGGCACAGGGACACTGGCAGGGTCACTGGTACAGGGACACTGGGTACCTGGACACTGGTACTGGTACAGGACACTGGTACTGGGTCACTGGTACAGGACACTGGGTACAGGGTCACTGTACAGGACACTGGTGCTCTGGTCACTGGGTACAGGTCACTCAGTACAGGGTCACTGGTACAGGGGTCACGGTACAGGGTCACTGGTACAGGGTCACTGGGTACTGGGTCACTGGTATCGGAACACTGGTACAGGCTGGTACAGGGTCACTGGCAGGGTCACTGGTACAGGTACACTGGTACAGGGTCACTGTACAGGGTCACTGGTATCAGCCACAAAAGAAAGTCACTGGTACAGTCACTGGTACAGGGACACTGGGTACAGGGTCACTGGCAAGGAAAGGTCACTGGTACTGGGTCACTGGTATGGAACACTGGTACAGGGTCACTGGTACAGGGTCACTGTACAGGGACACTGCAGGGTCACGGGTACAGGGACATCAGTAGGGCCTGGTACAGGGTCACTGGTACAGGGACACTGGCAGTACAGGGTCACTGGTACAGGGACACTCTGGTACTGGGACACTGAACACTGAACACTGGTACAGGGACACTGGTACTGGGTCACTGGTACTGGAACACTGGGTACAGGGACACTGGTACTGGAACACTGGTACAGGGTCACTGGTGGCTAGGGTCACTCTGGTACAGGGACACTGCACAGGGTCACTGGTACAGGACATGGTACTGGGACACTGGTACTGGAACACTGGTACAGGGACACTGGTACTGGGACACTGGTACTTGAACACTGGTACAGGGACACAATACTGGAACACTGGTACAGGGTCACTGGTATGAGGGTCACTGCTGGTACAGGGACACTGGGTACAGGGTCACTGGGTACAGGGTCACTGGTACTGGGTCACTGGTACAGGGTCACTGGTACAGGGTCACTGCGGCTGGTGGGACACTGGTACAGGGTCACTGGTACAGGGTCACTGGGTACTGGGTCATCGGTACTGGAACACTGGGCAGGGTCACTGGTAGGGTCACTGGTGAGGGACACTGGTACAGGGTCACTGGTACTGGAACACTGGGTACAGGTCACTGGCACTGGAACACTGCACACAGGGTCACTGGTACTGAACACTGGTACAGGGTCACTGGGTACAGGACACTGGTACAGGGTCACTGGTACTGGCTCACTGGTACTGGGACACTGGTACTGGGTCACTGGCACAGGGACACTGCACAGGGTCACTGGTACAGGGTCACTGGTAAGGACACTGGTACAGGGTCACTGGTACAGGGACACTGGTACTGGGACACTGGTACTGGAACACTGGCAAGTAGGGACACTGCACAGTCACTGGTACAGGGACACTGGGTACAGGGTCACTGCACAGGGACACTGGTACTGGGTCACTGGTACAGGGTCACTGGGTATGCAGGGATACTGCACATGACACTGGTACAGGGTCACTGGTACAGGGTCACTGGTACAGGGTCACTGGTACTGGGGTCACTGGTACAGGACACTGGTACTTGGGGTCACTGGCTGGGGACACTGTACAGGTCACTGGTGGGTCACTGGTACAGGGTCACTGGTGGATCACTGGTACAGGGTCACTGGTACAGGGTCCACTGGTACAGGGTCACTGGTACAGGGTCACTGGTACAGGGTCACTGGTACTGGGTCACTGGTACTGGGTCACTGGTACTGGGTCACTGGTACTGGGTCACTGGTACTGGGACACTGGTACTGGAGTCACTGGTACAGGGTCACTGGTACAGGGTCACTGGTACTGGGTCACTGGTACAGGGTCACTGTTACTGGGACACTGGTACTGGAGTCACTGGTACAGGGACACTGGTACTGGGTCATGGTACTGGGACACTGGTACTGGGTCACTGGTACAGGGTCACTGGTACAGGTCACTGGTACTGGTCACTGGTACTGGGTCACTGGTACAGGGACACTGGGTACAGGTTTACTAGTTCAGGGTCACTGGTACTGGGTCACTGGTACTGGGTCACTGGTACTGGGACACTGGTACAGGGACACTGGTACAGGGTCACTGGTACAGGGACACTGGTACTGGGTC